AGTCGCATTTCAGCGGCTTATGCGGAGAACTTGCGGGTGATCTTGGCAATGACTGGATATGCGCGTTAGAGATCGTTGAGTCACCCAAGGACTGTCCAGGAAGAACACTTACCGTGGAGACCAACGACGGAGAAGATGAAGCCCAGACTGAGAACCAGGACAACGACGGGGTCGACCCTCAGACCGGGGCTCTCGTCAGTGTAGAGCTTGAGCATCGTGCCGGAGGAGCCACCAGCACCGGCGGCGCGAGTCGAGCTGGGTCTGGCATTGCGGAGGGACTCCTTGTGGTCAGCGGCCGCGCGACGACGCAGAGCAGCCCGGGGACCACCAGGAGGAGTGGGAGAGGAAGGGCGGTTGACGGAGGAGACAGCAGAGGCGCCGGTGCCAGCGCCAGCAGACTTGGAGTCGGGACCGGACTCAGCACCGGAGGTCATGGGGGAAGCAGCACGGGGAGAGGCCTGAAGAGAATAGAGACGTTAGATGAGGTTGCACTTAGTTTAATTGACTGAAGTTGTCATATCTCGTCGATGGTTTGGTCCAATTCGCTTGGGAGAGACAACGATAGCCACCAAGAGGATCGGCAGGACAAGGGTGCTCACCATTTTGAAGAATATGGAGATTCAAGAAGATAAGAATCAAAGAAAGTGAAGCTGAATTAAACAATAATGACAACAAGAAGCACGGAAGCAATTGGCCGATGAAGAGGGAAGGAGTCGGCTGAGAAGTAGAAGAGGAGGAGATACTGGTAGGAGGTCCGGGAGGTGAGGTCGCGAGATGCCAGAAAGAGGCCACGCTCACGATTTCCAGCTGGCGGAAGGTACCGTCATTTACGGTAATGCCAAGAGCTATACCCAGAGTAAGTAGATTATATAACATAAGTTGGGTGCTTCTTTCACAACAAGTCCGATGTGGTGTAACGGCTAACATCGCCGTCTTTCACACGGCAGCTCGGGGTTCGATTCCCCGCATCGGAGTTCTCTTTTTCAACTTCTCTTTTTTGTCTTCTTTCCTTCCTTCCTTTTTAACTTCTCATGTGTGCTGGATGTCTGTCTATCTGACTCTCTGCCACATAACATAATTTTTACTGATAGCTAAGCTAGTCTCTGGCATCAGTATTTTCTTCGACTTCCAAACTACTATGTAGCTTGATCAATTACGGAATAAGGCTCTGAGCCACTGGCCTACGGTTCCCTCCATTCCATCGCTCTCCACTGCAAGTTCTAGACCTTGAAGCTGCTAGGTTGTGACGATCCAAGGTCCGAAGTTTGTAAGACTGCTAGATACATTGTGCGCCATCCAGAACCTTGGATCCGATCTTGACTCCACTCCACAATCAGGCAGGTCAGCTCCGACAAAGTGATGCTTTAGGGACGGATAGTCTAGTCTACGGCTAAAAGGGGCAAAACCACGAGCCCTATGCGTGTCCCTGAAAACACTGTGGAGCAGTTCAGTCTCGCGCGGTTGAATTATCCATTCTTGCGGAGCAGACTCGTTTGTCTACCCGCCACTCACGTGGAAGGTTCACTCTTAAGTTGAACCGGCAGAGATCCGGCCCATGGATGCCATTCCAGGACCGCTGGCAGGCAGCCACATAGACGCGACAGCCGTTGGAAGAGTTCTCCTGGCATGACAACCAATTAGAACGGATTCTTCACTCGGCCGGTTAGAGTGTATAAGCTGTAAAGCGTAGAGAAGACTCGGACCTTCAATGACCTGTGTCGCCATAGCAATACTGCAAATCTGTGACGGCGGAAGATCTTGGGTACTTCCCACAATGCCGTTGTTTCACCGAGGCGCACTAAGCACGTCGAATGGCACATGGAGCAAGCAGCAAGGGGAAGCGAAATGCGCACTAAAATAGCCACACGCCACTAACTTAGAAGACTTGATGGGCTCACAGACCTGTGGCTTTCAGCACCTTGGTTTGAGAACTGCATTGGTGCTTGTGCTTGCATTATGGTGAGACCGGAGTCTCCGGAATAATTCAATGAGGTTCCCAGGTAGATGGAGTATTTGTGCTCCGTCTCTGCTCTTTGAAGATACACGTTATCAAGTCTAGCTAATTCGTCGGTTTGGCGTCCACCCCGACAATAAGGTTAGATGGGTACGTAACCCGGCGTGAGAAGAGGCTTAAATGTCGTTATGCGTCTGCCTAAGGCAAAATTCTGTCGACCTGGATCTCTTCCAGATGGTTCATGGTTCATGGTTCATGCAGAAGCAAGGCAGAGATGCCTACTTCTTTCTCTTGATTACCTGGCTGAACCATGCATTGCTGACCCTGCAGAGGCTGCCATGCACACACGAGTGACACCGCACATTGTACTAGGTTCAGGAAGCTGAGCCACGGATCTGGTCTGATCTGAGCCGGCCACCACAATTTTTGGCCCCAATTCTGGCCCCGTTCCATCTCCGGGGCAAAGGGAAGCCCGTCTGACGCGCGCTAGTCTCGATGGGGAGGTAGTTCAATGCAGTGTTTATCTAGTCTGCACACTGTTGACTGTGGTAGATAACTAATTGGTAAACAGTGGAATGGTTGCCTAAGACATCCTAGTCCTAGATCTTTTGGAAGCGGGATCTTTCTGGCTTGTATAGTGAACAAAAAAAAAAAAAAAAAAAAAAAAACCTCACATATGGTGAATATTTTTTTATAATGAATTTTGGTCAAAGAAATCGTACAGTGGGCATGTGTACCAACATGAAATGATCGTGGATTATTCTCATGTAGATCGCATTCTACGTGCCTTCTTTCTTATAGATATGGATCTCCTGCCGCCCCCGATTCCAATGCTTGCCTTTTTTATACTTTCTTGCGAGCCGTTGGTTTGCAGCTCTTCCGCCACTTGTGAACTTTGACAATCCCCCACATCCATTGCCATGGTGTGTATACGGTATAGAACTGCTGCACTCTGCTAATAGTACATTTAATCTTTGGACAGATCTGATACCTTGAAGCATCAAGATAATTTAATGATTGGGTAGGAAATTCTCCCCGAATCAATGCGATCTTTGAATGCCCCAACAAATTGGAAATAACTGTTCTATCGGTATCTCGGCAAGCAGCGTGATAGTTAACTACGATGGACTGTGTATAGCTCGGATGCGCCGCCCGTTTGGGGCAAGATGCGAGTAAGTGCACACAGAAATTCTGGAGCTACGATAGTCAAGTAATAATAGGGCTTGAGAATTAGAGGTAACGCGCGGCATTTTACTAGAGGGTTAATAATATCGTAATCGGGAACCCAGTTTCAAAAGGCAGCCGGTCCATGGGTCCGACCCACTGCGACGCGACGAATTCAGGAGACAATCGAGTCTAGTTCCTTTCTCTGTCGAGTTTAGCCCAGGCACGGGATCCAGTTCTGAGACCCGGAATAACGAATAACAACAAATCAACAACAACACCGAATTGAAGGATTTAATTTATCACCACAACAAACACTCATCGCTCCTCCGTAAGCAGAAGCAGTCAGTGCCCAGGAGGGGGAAAAGGAACAGAGAAGATAATCAGCCACAGCAAAAGCAATCCGAAGACGATATTCTTTTGATCTTCAGGACTGAGGAAGAAGAGTACCGTAGTAATTCCCATGAATGGTTCCAGGTGCTCCCGTAATTACCGTGGGTAGATTAAAAGCTTCTTGGCTCATTGGGGAGGATAGACTAATCCCGCGTATAAGCCGAACGCCATGATAAAACCCATCATAAAATTAGAAGAAGAAAATTGGGGCCCAGGACGGACGGAGTCTGGCACATTTGGGTGAACCCCAACGCAACTTGCTCTGCCGTTAAACCGTCGCTTATATGCTTGACTGCGACTAAACCTGGGTTGTCATGTAAGGTGTGGGTTTAGTCTAGTCTTGAGCATCGTCCAACCCTCCTCTGATTTTTGTGATCATCACTTGCCTTTTCCCGCTTTTTTTCCCTTCCATTGCTGCGTCTGGACTTTCCAGCTGAACCCTGGATGCCACATACGCCTCCCCCGACCGGAAAGCAGCCCCCTCCTCCTGCTCCTCCTCTTCTCCTCCTCCAAAAAGTGCGTGAGTAATCAATCCGTTTGGTATTGTCTTCTTCTGTCAGTTGGTTCACTACTATTCACATCTCGGGCTTAGCTTGACAGCAGCCTCCGTTTTTTCCCTCTCTCTCCCCCATTCCACTCATCATCTTCCATCGTTCTTCTCCCAGCCTTTCTTTTCCACCTCTCACATTCATACTTCCTCCTTCCCCCCCCGACACTCGTTTTTCTTCCCCTTTCACTACTTACAGCATTTTTCTCCTTATTCCCTTTTCTTTCTTTTTCTCCTTCCCTCAGTCTCTCTCTCTCCCCTCCCTAACATCCTCTCCGACTGACACTGGGCCTTGATTTGGAGTCCGCAGGTGCTCAGCCTTACGCCAACAGACCTCCCCCCAATCCCGAACCATCGATCATCGGACTGAGCCTCCCCGCCCAAGGGTAACACACGACAATTCGCACCACCGCTTAACAATCCTACGGCCTCCCCCGAGACTTTCTCATCCTCCTCCTTCACCCTGCAGCGAGCCAGTCGCCGGGCGAAGATACCCTCCGCTCGCCCCGTTAGCCCGTCTTAAGTGTGGCTTGGTGTGGCTTATACGCTTGTCGTCAAGTGGTCGTCGTCGTCCTCCCAGAACCCGTCATCTTCGAGAACCCCGACCTCCTGAAATCCCCCTCCTGACAACCTCAAAAACAAGGCCCCGGCCGCAACCCGCACAGTTTGGGGTTGTCACCTCCCCGCTTCGCGAACCTGTATCCTTGATCCTCTACCTCTGCCATATTGTCGCGGCCGTCGGGTGGTCGAACCGTCATATTGTATCCCGATCCTGAGCCTCCGACGGACACTAGCTCCGTAACGGAGCACTTCGTCAAGATTTATTCCCACAATTCGCGGGCCTCCCTGCTCGGGGGCACTTTCGATCCATCTTTTAGACGCGGTTTCCGTGCCCGAGAAGGGTATACGAATGTTCCTCCGAATCCTCCAAAGCGACACAGGATGTATCGGCCAAACTCGCTCTGGACTTGGTCCTTTTGCATTGTTACCCTCGTCCAAACCATCATTACCCTTGCCCTCGAGTCGTAAGTGTGGCCTTCATAACCGTTGATTTGAATCTTTCCGAGTGCTTATGCTGACTACCGCACGAATAGTTATGTCTTCGCAAACTTCCAGATCCAACTGTTTCCCAAGGGTGAAGTCTCGACTGCATCAAAGACAGTAACAACCTTCTTGGCACTCTACTGTTTCGGTTTTATATATGAGTTGATCCTCGTTTACGATGCTCTACGCCTCAAGAATACCATTCAAGTCATCGGTCTGTGCGTGTGCAACCTCGGTCTTCTGATTTACGGAGCGGTGCAAGTCCAGCAGATCAAGGACTCCATCGAAATGCTTGTGGCCGAAAGCGCCATCACGGTAGACGTGTGGGGGGAAACGGAGCCTTTTCTGATTATCATTCCGTGCGTCGTTGCCATGGGCTCTGTCCTGATGATGATTATCGCTTGGAAGCTCTACGATGAATTTGCATGGTCGATCTACAAGCATATCAGCGCCGATCTGCGAATGAAGCGCCGGTATCTTACATATCAGGTACTTTTGCATGCCTGCCGAAGTGGGGACCCGAACCCAACTAACAAGCGTTTTAGATCTATATCGCTCTGCTGAAGTTCGATTTCTTCTTCTTCCTTGGTTTCACGGTCCAGTTCCTTGTCATTGTTACGAACAAGACGGATGTTGAATTCGGTCTCACAACGGCTGCCATTCCCGTTACGATTCTCATTCTTGTTTGCGCTGCGATCTTCGTCAAGCGAGAGAGCTCGATCGGAATGATCATCGTCATTGTACGTTATAGTATCCCTCATTGGGTCTGGATATCTTCTAACTGGTATCGCAGCTTCTATACTTCGCGGCTATGGCCTACTTCCTGTTCAAGCTGGTCCGCATGTACCAGCCTCAAACATATCAAGAGTACCTGCCCGCCCGGCGGTCTCTGACATTCTTCGCTGTGATCACACTTCTTTTGATCGTTTTGACGATCATCAATGCCTGCATTTGCATGCACAACTTCCACAGGGGTCTGAAGCAGCACGTGCATAAGAAGAAGTCCCGCGACAAGGATGAGAAGACAACTGAGTTGTCTTCCAACATCTCGGGCCAGGTGCCGAATCGCATGATGATTGACTGAGCGACTTCAGCCCCACGTTATGAACCAAACACAATAAAACGACCAAAAAAAGAGGAAGACTAAAAATAACAGCAAACCTGCAAATCGGGGGACTTTTTTCTTTTCCACATTTCTAACCACTGCACATTTATTCATGGAGCGATATATCGTTTTTAAAGGTTAGCGAGTTGTGCAAATAGTCCGCCAGTAGGTGGACCTACTGCTTGGATACTGAGATTGGGCGTGTTTCCGGGATTTACCATATGATACCTCCTACTGCGTTGCTCGGTTTTTCTTACGAACCTTCGACTGTCTTTCCTTGTTGATTTCCTCGGAGTTTTGTCTGAAGTGGCTGTTCATCCTCCCCCCGCATCACGCTCTTACTCAATGACGCGCCGAGTCGCGTCTCATCGATGAAATTCTTTTTTCCTTATATTTCCGTTTTGATCATCATTTCCCCCTTATATCTACATATCTCTACCCCCCGATTATGTGAATATCACGACTCTGCATTATGTACTGTAGTTATTAATTTGCCTTGTTGCTTGGAGATAATCAAAAGACACTACTCAAACCAGCCTACTGTCCTACACCCATTTATTAGCGATGAAATATCTGCAAACAGATAACTAAACTAACAGCAAGGCACCGGATAGTCGAGCGAGACAGTAAGTAGCTACGTACACACAATATAGACCAGAAGAAGACGAGCAAGCAGGGAGATCTCTCTAGATGAGAAGAATGAAAGAGAAAAAAAAAGATCACGAAAAAGATATCTCCGATGCGGGGAATCGAACCCCGAGCTGCCGTGTGAAAGACGGCGATGTTAGCCGTTACACCACATCGGATTATTGTTGAAGAAGGGACTGATCTTATCATCTAAGTAGAACAAGTCTAGCTCCCTACATCACAAAGAGAACTCCTAGTTATTTGATTCTATTATCTACTACTCCTACTACCCTTCATAATACCATTTCAATACATTCGATCTCGAGTCAATGAGAACATATGATAGAGAGGCATGTACAGTAGCGCGATAAATAATTCTGGGAGATAGAATAATTTGTCATATTGGTGTGAGGGGGGTTAAAGCAGCAGGGAGGGAGTAGTACTTATCGTTTTTACAATGAGGTATAGTTCAATAAAGCTACATGTGGTGGTGGCAGGGAGAACCTTACTGTGTGTATATCTGGATGGCTGCTGAGTAGGTAGCTATTGTCGGTGGTGCATCCGAGGGCGATATTATGGGATGAATAGAGGGGGTGAGGGAGTAAGGGACTGGGTATCCTGGCTGGGTGCGTAGGACGCGAGGTATACCCGGAAACTAGTACTTCCTCGTTACTGCTAGTACTTAATTATATCCCAAGTTGAATGGTAGATTATTACAAAGGTTGCATTAAAAAGGAGAAAAGTCGCTCATATGATTGATCCAACTATATAGCAGGCGATGTGGCTATCGACAGATTCGCTCGAGCAGCAGAAATATATGTATAAAAAAAAAAAAACGAGTATTAACAGGTAGAAATAGTAGTAAGAACCGAAACCAGCTATATGCATAAAGCAGCGAACGTATATATAGAGCAGTCGGTCGATATAGTCGAAAAAGAATGTCAGTTGGTTATTTTATTTCCCCTTTCCCCACTTCTTCACTCGGAAGACATAGTACAACATGACGGCGCCGGCAATGTTGAATACGAAATAGCACCAGAAAATTCCGTAGTCGCGCCAGCGGTCTTTCCAGTAGACCCACCGAAGAGCAAGATACTCATCAGCTATAGTCATGGAGCAGTACTCGCAGGCAGAGGTGGCGTTTGGATTGTACACCTGGCCTCCGGCGGCTTCGACATACTTCTGCATGTATTGTCCACAGGTGTAGTTGGATGGGGGGTCGAAAACACTGAGCTCGGAAGTACTGCACTCCACTGGGCGACCATGGAGGATTGAACTGCCGACTCCGGCCGTGTAGTACGTGAAAGGGGAGACACGGTACATGAAAATCCAGAATCCGGGTAGGTCTCCGGGTGGTTGCAGCATACCATTGAAGATGAACGCAAATGCGAACATGAGAACGGCCAATATGCCTGCAACCGGTGCCTGGGGGATCGCGGCAATCACGAAGTGAGCCATACTGGCCACATACAGATAGAATTGGACGATGTAGAGAAGGGCAAGGACGTGTCGCTCGGCATCTTGACCCGTGCCCATCACAGCCCAGTAAAACGATGCCCAAACACAAACTCCCAGAACAAAGTGGTAGGGGATTTCGACGAAGACGTTTGAGAGAATGAATACTTTCCATGAGTAGACCCTGGATGGCCGCTCCCGGACTTCATATAGCGCCCGCTGCGCAACGAATCTGGGCGTGATCTGGTTGACGAGGGTAGTGAAAACCGTGGCTAGGAGGAAGACACTGAAGAGAGCACACTGGAAACCCTGTTCGGTGTTGTTCGCTTTATAAAAGGAGAAACCGATGAACAATCCACACGCTATACCCAACGAGTACTTTGAAAACACATATTCCGGTTGGCGGTAGTATTGCTGAAACGCACGCTTCATGACGTGGTAGAGTTGGCTGGTGAAAGGCATAGCAAATTCCATATTGCTGCTATCGCCATCCCGGGCTCGTGGCTCGGGCTGTTGTTGCGGATCCTGAAGACGTTCGAGCTCTGCGAGGACCTCCCTGCGCTCAGGGCTATCGTTCCATCTCTGAACCCAGTCAATGCCTTCCGATGCTTCCCCCGCGACGATCTCAAGAATGTACTCCGCCGGATTTTCCATGTCCCCGCAGGGCCTAGCACCGCAGCGCTCAAAGTATTCCAATAGTACGTGGGATTGGTCTCCAATATCACCAAAGTAGACAGTTTTGCCTCCTTTGGCTAGGAACAACAAGCGATCGAAGGTCTGGAACAGCAGGGCACTCGGTTGGTGGATGGTGGCAAGGACTGCCTGACCGTGATCGGCAAGCCTTCTCAGAAGTGCGCAGATTGTCCAGGAACTCTGTGAGTCTAGACCGCTGGTTGGCTCGTCGAGGAATATTAACAATGTCGGTTTCGCAGCAAGTTCAACACCAATACTCAGCAACTTTCTCTGCTCCACGTTCAAGCCCTCTCCCAGAGAGCCCACAACAGCCTCCGCAAAGTCTTGCATGCGTAGAACCTTGATGACCTCTTCGACATATTCGTACTTCTCCTTTTCAGATACTGATGCGGGCTGACGGAGCATGGCACTGAAGCGGAGGGCCTCGCGTACCGTAGTTGTCTCCATATGAAGATCCTGCTGTTGAACATACCCGGTTTCTCGTGGAAAATTGGCCTTCAAAGCTCTTCCGTTCACTAAAACATCGCCGGTAACAACGCCGATAGATACCCTCTGGGCGAGGACATCCAAAAGTGTAGTTTTTCCGGCCCCAGAAACCCCCATCAGCGCGGTCAAAGTGCCTGGCTTAACCCATCCATTCACGTTATCGAGAAGTCGCCGGGTACCATCTTTGACGGGTATATCATAATTGAGGCCCTTCCACGAGAGGATATCTGTTTGCCGAGGAAGGTTAATAGCATCCACTTGGTCCCGCACTTCGGGCTTGTCTGGGGGCGCTTCTCCATCTTCGATCCCATCGGAGGATAGCAGATATTGTGGAACATGACCAGACCGGAAAACCAGGGTTTCTGCTTTGGATGTCTCACCCGAATTGTACTCGGAAAGAAACAAATAGAGGCCGGTGAATAATACCAGGTAGGCGACGAGAATACCGTAATTCCGCCAAACATGGCTGTAGTAGTATTGGTAACTCTGCTCCACATAAGCGTCCCCGGAGACGAACCGCTCTCCTGCAACGGCACCCACGGTTGAACAGATGAAGGATGAGCCAACAGCATAGCTTGGGATCACCGATGCACATTCAAAGTTCCTGCCATGGAACTCATTCGCTAAGATGGCCTCATACACATAGTAGATTGGGTTAACCCAGCGGATCCATGAAAGCCACGGGTGCATGTATGGTTGTGGCAAGACGAAGCCAGTGTATACCACAATGCATAAGATACAAACACCAGCCATCGCCATTGCCTGCGCGCTTGTCCTTGTAGCCGCAGCTAAGCTACGGAAAATCCCGGACATCGTCAAGACAGAAGTCAACAGAAACATGTAGCAAATGAAGAACTGTGATGGTTCTCGTCGAAGGTTGGACATCAGATAAAGAATCACACAAAAGAGAGTACCCCGTGTGAATTTGATAGGCAGATCCATGATCCAACTGGCCAAGGCCTCAGCGAAAGGATGCACAAACGCATAACCCGCTTGCTTCACAGCAATTGGCCGCTGGCTATATAGCTGAATAATCTCATTGAGGGCGATCAAGGCATTGAAAAGCACAGCGAAGTATAGCACAGCCCCTTTCTGGAAAAATGTGGCAGTGGTGGGCGCAGAATTGAAAAAAATAGAACCGATCACCAATGCGAGAATGGGTTGTGTCACTACCGTAACGATTACGGTCGGTAGGTCGTTCCGTAGTCGCTGAAAAGCCCGGCGCAGGCAGAGGCGGACTTGCATCGGAACAGAGAGGAGATATGGGCTGCGTGGCCGAGTATGGCGGGCCTGCTGCTGTTCATGATTGGCCTTGAATGCTTTGGCCTCGTCTGAATCCGGTGGATGAGCGCGTTGATACTCCTCTATCTGACCGCAGAGCTCCTGATACTCGGGGCTACGCTTCCAATATTCCTCGAACTCCTTCGCCGTGCGTGGTACTTTGTCGACCATGTCAGGACGGGCCTTTCGTTCGCCTGGGTTGGTAACTGAAGTCAGGAAGTCGCCGCTGACTTGGCGATCTGGTAATTCCCAGCCCATTTCCTCGAAGTAACGTACTGCACGATCGCGGCGACCGAAGTAGATCTGGCGACCTTCGTAGAGGACGACGACTTTGTCGACGAGATCGTACATCGACTGAGAAGCTTGATATGCAGCGATAGCATGACACGATCGACCCATGTCGGCAGAAAGACGTAATGCCCTGACAAATTTTAGAGCAGACGACGCATCGAGCCCTCGTGTGCTGTTATCCCAAGCTCCGATACGACACCTTGAGACGAACATCTCGGCGATACTGACCCTCTTCCTCTCACCACCGCTAACTCCTCGCACAAAATTGTCCCCTACCTTGGTGTGATAGGTATGTGAGAGGCCAAACACAGCCAAGACAACCTGAGTGAGGGTTTCAACATATTCGGAGCGTGTCAAGCCTTCAATTCGTTTCTGGGGGGTCCGCGCATGCGCTGCGAATGAAAGCGTTTGACCAACGGTAAGGTGTGGAAAGTGTTGATCGACTTCCTTGTTGTAAGCCACCTCTCCACGGTGGTGCTTGATCATATCCTCATATTCGATGCCTTGGTAATGAATGGTACTCTGAGGTTCGAGCGTCAGACCACCCAGGTGGCCACAAAGGGTTTTCAGGAATGTTGTACATCCACTTCCAGGGCGACCGAGAACGAGCAGGAGCTCTCCACTTTGGAGGAAGCCATCGAAGCTGTGGAGAATCTGCCTTGGTGGAGGGGACGCTCGTCTTGAAAGCGCATGCGCGGCAGCGCGGAAGGGAGCTGCCAACTGCGTAGCAATAGTCTTCTGGATCTGTAATGCTGAGCCTGATCCAGACACGCAAAGATTAGAAAAAACGACACCCTGCGTCTGCTGTACAATGCCTGACTGGTTCAGGGCCGTTAGAACAAGTTTTGCCCAGAGACGTTGATCGAACGCCGGATTGGCGGGGTCCAAACGGGGGTCATCCTTTTCAATGATCGTAGCAGCTTGGGAAATCCTTCGACCAGTTCGGGTAGAGGCGATTCGTGTCAGATTGTGAAGCTCTTGCTCCTCCTCGTCCGACGATGGGGTCTGCTCCTTATCCGATGGATACGGGTCGTGAGCGCTGGCGTCCTTTTCGTCCATGGTGCCAGTCAATGAGAGTTCCTAGATAGACCCGTTTCGAGAGCCTTCAGGTCACCAAGCGAGAGGAAAACTGGCAACGAGGGAGAGGCGGAATTCCGCCAGAGATAAGGCTTGAACAGAAGGTCCCGTATGTATGGGATACACCTAATCAATAAAGCCCACAGGGCAAACTATAGAAGGGCCAATTTCGAGTGTTAATGTTAGGAAGCGATCGCCCCGCTTCGTGTCCAGCCATTTTTCGATAATAAATTAGATCTCACTCCCTTCATCCGCATTAGTGCACACTTATGCCTTGTTTCTAGAATTATTTCAGCCATCAGCCATGTCTATTCCGTCAAGCACGGCCGGGCGGCCTGCTCCTTGGGGATGCATGATCTAGACGGCCCTAACTGCGGCCTGCAGCAGCTAGCGCAACAATAAGCCCCAACTAGAGCGTGGATTGATCAGCGCTATTATTACACATAGTCGATCGCTTCAGGCCACACCGGGTGGACCACCTTCAGCCTTGTCATTGACGATTCTGACTGGCGGAATTCAAAATACCATTGTTCTTAGCATCTTAATGTGTGTCGTTGCTGGACTGTATGTGGCGAGGCTGTCGACGGAGACTTGTGGCACGTACGTAACTGCATTTGTGTGGAGCTGGACACTGAATCTCAGCGTTGGACCTTAAGAAAGACCTAGCCGGAAGATGGAGGTGACGATCCCGTCGAGAATGCATGAAGCGGCTGTAGGTTTACTCCGTTAGGCCAAACAGTCATTGAAGGAGGGTCCGGAAAAATGCTACTCGCCTGTTTTGCCTGCTCGGGCGGAATTACGTGACTGATGGAAGGGGCCAGCAAAAGCAACCCAGCCATAAAACACGTCAACCTGTGACTTCCTATCAATGCCCTATCCCGGAACTTGTTCTATGGCCTACTATAATGAGAGCAGGGAAGGGAAATATTGACGGGACGCGACGCCCAAACCACCGACTCGGTCACGGCTGATCGGCCCTCCGACGCGCCGGTGATCAACTATCAATCCCGGATCTGGTATCCATATGGGCTCAAACTCAGCACCAAAGATACTCCGTGGCTCTGGGTTCGCCGGGAAATCTAAAGGGCAACCATGCTAGCACTTCAGTGTGGATACGGACCATCGTGGATTCAAAAATGCCGCCCCACGCATTAAAGACTGAGCAACAAGCACCTTGCGGTGAAGCTTACATTTCAGAAGACTGCACTGTGTACGGAGACTCCGTAAATTATCTCCTTTGTTCGATCTCCAACTCTCCTTACTGCATGTTGTTGCTTGTTCCGTAAATTGCTTCCAGGCGATTGTGACGTGTCTACTCCGTAACCCGTAGCAATCAAAGTATGATGATGTCTCTTCTCCTGAAACGAAAAATGAATAGCATTTGTTCCCTATGCAGCCAATCATGCCAGGAAACAGTTGCTTAAAGTCTAGTAACGCTCATTGGAGGTGGCTGGAGGCGAGGAACTGACTCCCCTGCTCACGACGCTCGGATGGAGGAAGGATTACAGCCATCGAAGGGCTGTTACTGCTCATCCCGCAACCGAAGTCTTTCCAAAGAGAGCAAAGTGTATCAATCCGAAACCCTCTTAGCCTCGAGGATGTCTGGAGTCCAAAGCGTGTCTTGGTAGACAGCCAAGTTGGACGTGGCGAACTCGAACTCGAACATGTGGGCCTTCGCACATGTAGCGTTGCTGTATCTGTTGCTTGTTACTGGAGCTTAGCATTTCGCAGACATCACATCGCAGATCTCAGGCAGCAGGCAGCGTATGCACTGGGCCCGCAACACAGGGCTCTTCAGCTTGATGGGGTGATTCCGAGCCATGCTAGAGATTAGCATCGCAAGCTTTACTGAACGCGGCTATGATCGTGATCTGACACGCATAGAAATGATGCAGTAGGGCCGTCGCTTGGTTCTAAAATGTCTCAGTAAGGAGTAGAAGAAAAGGAAGTATCTATGAATCGTTCAGGTGTATAAGGCTTTGTGCAGAATGGCCGGCGCCGAAGGGCTCTGAGATTGAGTAGCTGCTTCACGGCACCACGGTGACACAAAGGTGGGTTTTAAAGTTCAGAGCAGGACCAGAGCCCGACATGATACGCAAGTTAAATCAGCGTTGTGGGATTTATGGTAGACAAGAAATCCTGACAGCTCTTTCCGACAGGTTAGCCATGTAGACAGATGCAGCCAAGGCAACCGCAACGCCGGAAATATTCCAGAAGGTGTATCGTACAAAAATAAGCAATACCAACCACTAAGTAAAAGGCATGCCTAATCTTTTGAAGTCCCAGATGAATTCACAAGAAAGTTAAATGTACTCCGTACTGTAGAAACAGTTCATCCACCTCGATATCACAAACAAACAAAACAAACAAACACACCTCCCCGTACCAGCCTACCCAATCCAGTAAGCGGTCAAGCCCACCACCAGCACATCGCACCATAAAAAAACCCACGACAGCTAAGCTTGACTCACCTTCTCTTCTTCTCCCCCAAGCGCCATCCCCACCAATGCTGCGTTTCTTTGCTACACACGACAGAAAGACCTCCAGGTCTTCCTGTCCTCGGCTCTGATTTCCCTTTCCGGGGAAAATCATCCGAAACCCCCTTGCAAATGAGAAATTCGGAGGAATCTTCACCCTATGCACCCGCCATTTGGAAAATGAAATCATTTTCCAAATGGCCGGTACTGCCCTCAAGGGCCTGGTGTGACATCCTTGCACACACCTGCAATTGGCATCAGAAACATCGGGGGGAGGAAGGCGAAGGGATGTAAGGGTTCGCTCTTGCATTTCTTTTCCTTTTCTCTTTTTTCCCCATGGGAGAGTCGTTGCGAAGATTGTGTGTGCACTCGGCTTTGAACCGGGTGTGCGACACTTTAGTGCAATACGCAGCATGCCGTTTCCTGTTCTCCCCTCGCTGCTCACCACCCTTATGGGGGGTGGGTTAGAGGGGGAGGATGGGATTGGTATCATTCGATTCCGATTATTCTGGTGGGGGTGGCGCTTCACTTCTTTTTTTTCTGAGGTTAGTTGGAACCCCTGTTTTTATGGAATCTTGTGTCTTCGCGGTTAGAGAACTGGAAAGGACTTTTTTTTCCCCGGCTAATTGTTGGGTTTGGGGACCTGTATGGGTCCCTTTTTTAGGTTCTTGATGGCCTAGGGGGGTTGGGGATATACTGTATGGTTGAGGAGGAAGAGATGTGTTATGGGCATCTGTTTTAAGCTGCTATTGCAGGATAGTTATATATGTCTGTTGAGAATGCAGCTTCATTGCACAAATCCACTGCTTCGTACTTCATATATGACATGTAGAGAGACTGGACAGAATTATTGTAACCAATTGGACTTTGAACACGTTGGTCGCTTAGCATCTAGCTGGATATTATAGAAACAAAAATGAACACAGGCCCCCGAGAACATTCAGGATATTTTCCGAACATTAGAAGTTGAAAAGAAAAGAAAGAGAAATCGTTGCCTCCATGTTGCTCCCACTCGTCATTATGATCTCGCATGTATGTCCACTTACTCCTCATCGCCAATCTAGACATTATTAGTCAGTATAACTCTCAATAAAACTAAATGAGGAATCATCGTACCTTAGGAGCCAGGTAGAATCTCAGATGACCGCTGCCAAGGCCATACTCAACGAGGAGCGGCACCTCCTGCGACAGGCACAGGGTGACCTTGTTCGACAGGTTGGTGGCCTTGCAGAAGTTGACGAGGTACTTGAGGGAGAAAGTGAGGGCGACGGGTTCGGTGAGGGAGATGGAAACGTTCTGTGCGGGGTTCTCGACGTTGGTGTGCTGACGGACGGTGACGGAGCCACTGCCAATGTCACCCTGGCAGGAGAACTTGACACCCTCCTTCGTGGCCTCAATGACGACTGGGAGAGGAATTAGTCGCGGATCGAACCCATTGCCAATGGAAAGAACAACATACCGGACTCAGAGAGAGCATTCAGATCCCTGCAGATACGCTGGAACTCTGCTGCCGGCATCTCTACCGTAGCAGCGTACTCTGTCTCCGGGATGGCCAGGTGCTCCTGGTCAATGTCCATCAACTTGATATCATACTCGCTAAGTCTATCCGTCTCGGCACTCTCGAACATCAGGTTGACGGCATCGGGAGAGTCCTCAGCCTTGAGAGTGAGGATATCTTCGTTTTGGGCGGCACGCAGGACCTTGGTCAGGGAGACCAGGTTGATACCGAGGGCAATGTTACGGTCGCAACGGTAGGGGGAGAATCCCTCGGCCTTGAGCATCATGGAGACAAGAGCGACATGGGAGTTGTCCATGGCCTGAAGTGAGATACCGGAGTCATTGCAGTCGAAGTTGCAGTCTTGGACCAGGTCCTTGATGGCGTCGACGACCTGGAGAAACCGAATGTCAGCAATCAAGCAGTGGCACGCAACAGTATATGATCGAGAGCTACTCACGCGCTTCAGGAGACTGGCTTGTTCTAGGCGAGCTTCAAGCACTGAAATAGTTGTTAGCATACAATCTTGAACCAGTTGAAGCTTGTGACGCTCACTTTTGATGTGATGGTATGTGAGTACGGTGAAAAGCTAATGAGAAGGAGAAGAGGAAGATGAGGAGAGGCTGAGCTAAGTAGGTGGTAGTTAGCAGGTGAAAGCAGGATCGTGAAGAATGAAAGTCGTAAAGAACTGACAGAAGGAATTGAGTGCGTAGGAAGGATAGCGGCGTGTCTTTCAGGTTGGGGTGAATTTATTGAGGGACCTGAAAGTGCAGCGAATTCGCGTTCGAGGGTTTCATTAGTGGGGAGGCACGCGTCCCAGTCGCGTCATTCCTTAGGCTGATATCACCCTTTGGGGTTAGTCTGCTGCTGCCTGAGGCTGGGCTATACCGCACCCGTCTCAAAGAAGCGTCACTACCACTTGTGACTAATCCAGCAACTGAAATATCTCTATAGAGTATGGGAAGTTATTTCTGTGTAGCCAGAGGCCTACAGGGTGGTGAAGTATGCTTTCTGCTAGGCAGGCAGTACTGAAACAGTGCGTGCCCGGTTCATTCAAGCATACCAGACTATTATCGTGCGCATTTGAATAACAACCCAGTGCCTGTAGGTCGCGGGTAATACTTGACTATAGAATGATGTTTAACAGTTATTGGGTCTCAATGATAATGACATCGGCGTAGTACTGGCCACTAACCACACTATTAATCCTCATAATAAATTACTTCTTAGTCACAATGATAACTCAGCAACGCATCACGTCACAACTACTAGGATCATGCTGTATATTACTAGCCCTGCAATATGACCAGGGAACTGCAGGGAAGTAGTTGATATATGGATATTCAATTGGTCTTGAGTGAGGGACAGGTGGAGAAAAGCGGAATATGGATTCCTTATGACAGTCCTCTTCCGCGGTAATGGCTGGATTACAAATGCAATTAGTATGGAGATGATGACAGGCATTTGAACAACCCAGAGGGTAATAGTACATACATCACAAATTACTGAGCTATAGAGTCTAGTATATAAAGATCAGGATCAGCTGTTAACTTGTCCGAACGATCCATTTTCTCCTTCTCATAGTGACAGTGGAGTAACATTCCAACGCAAACCTATTCTAAATATGACCACAGTATTCATGTCAGTCGCTCATCCAAAAGCCAAAGCACTTTAGTAGTATACGCATTGCAAGAAAAGCTCACACAAGCCACAGAACAGGAGCCAGCGGCTACATCGGCGGCGACCTTCTATCAGTACTTGTATCGAAGTACCCAGACCTGCACTACCGCTTACTGGTCCGAAGCCGCGATAATGGGCAGAAGATCAAGGCGCAATATCCTAATGTCGAGATTGTACATGGCGGTCTCGATGATTCAGAGACCCTGGTAGCAGAAAGTGCTAGGGCTGATATCATCATCCGTTAGTAGACGCATCCATTCATTGTCACATATTATCCATCATAGGGGAAGAGTACCCGCTGACATCACCGGCCTAAAAGACACAGCTGATGCTGCTGACCACCTCGGAGCAGCTAAGGCAATAGCTCAGGGTGCTCTAGAAGGGCACACCGAAGAACGCCCTGTCTATTGGTTGCATACCAGTGGTGCCGGGATCTTCTCGTTCTCAGACACTGAGAACAAGGTATATGGGGAGAAAGGCGAGAAGATCTATGATGATGTGCAAGACATTCACGAGATTGTCAGCTTTCCTGACCATGCGTTCCATCGAGATGTGGACAAAGCGGTGTTGGAGGCTGGATCGGTGCGTCCAGGTGTCCTGAAGACTGCTATCGTATCCCCGGTTACTGTTTACGGTAGGCTTCAATAACGACCAACACGTAAGAAAATGAAAATAACTAAATCGCTGCCATGTCATAGGTCGTGGCCGAGGACCCTGCTCCCAACGCAGCAGACAGATATACGAGCTAGCCAAACTGACCATCCAACGCCAGAAAGTTCCCATTATCGGCCGGGGCCTCTCATTCGCGACCGATATTCACATTCAAGATCTGACTAGTTTATATGTCATTCTCTTCGAAAAGGCCCTTTCAAAGCAAGATGACGGGCTTTGGGGTCCGGAGGCATACTACCTCAGTGAGAATGGGGAGCATTGCTGGGGTGAGCTGGCCCGTTCAATTGGACAGATCTGTGTAGCGGAAGGATTCATCCCAAACGCCGAAGAGGAGGCTTTTGGCTTTGAGGACGCTCGGAAATGGGCAGGCTATGAGGCTGCTAGTTGGGGGTTAAATGTACGGTGTCGGGCCAGTCGTGCTCGTCAATTACTGGGGTGGCAGCCGTCTGCGCCATCGCTGGAATCCGAGCTTCGGGATATCGTGAAAGGGGAATATCGCCGTCTGCAGGAGGGGGAAAGCAGTGCATGAAGCTCCGCTAAGATGTTGATTATGAATCTGATACAAATAAATTGCAAGGAATTGGCCGACTTACAGTCGGGCAAGCCATAGTAACCGAAGATTGAAGTTCCTTCAGTGGTACTACGCAAATTACAACAATCTATATCATCAAATACACCTAATCAATGGAGTAAGACATCATACTTCAGACATAATTGAATACTGGCTCAATACAAATAATTACGCTAGAATGTAGGATATGTACACAAGGCTGATGATACAGAACAAACGAGATCAAGCGGAAGCCGCCAGCATTGCTTCGGCAAGCATAGTGAGTATACAGGAAGACGAAGGGACGAGTCAAGAAAAAAGTACATGATATACAGTATCAACGATTGTAAGGCCCAAGGGTGTCCGCCAGGGGAAAGAGGTAATAATAAGTAACCGGGCTGAGATAGAATGCAAAACTGCCTTAACGCCGCTGACACCGGACCGCTCTATACATTTCTGGGTATCAATCTGCAAAGGTTGCTAGGAAGAGTCGGCTTCCAGCTCGAGGTAGAGTAAAGCTTAGGTTATAATATGCGGGGAGGGGGAAGGGGAAAGGAATTCGGGTATCGAGGTGGCGGTAGAGGGATAGGGTTGGAGGAATGCCGTCGAATGATGGCGGAATCAGATGCTTGTGACACGTTTCGCAGCTATCGTGGTACGAGGTCGTTGCTTGATTACCATTTCTAGCTCCTTGAGCATGTTTGTATTGGCATCAGTGCGCTCCCGAGCGGCTGCTTGTCGTGCTCTATCTTCTTTGACTCGCGCGATTCGTTCCTCTCGGGTTAATGACATCCTCTTGTTCCGAGCCGGAAGAGCTACAGCTTCAAAAATTTCCTCCTCATCATCTAGTGTATGAACGATGCTGGGATCTGTGTTTTCGCCAGTCAACGCTCGAAGGGCGTCTGCAGGGCTGCCCTCGACTGCAGTAGAGCCCCCAAGGCTGGGTGTGGGTGACAGGGGTGTTTTCAAAAAGCTCGAGGGTCGCGAAAATTCCGGATTTGCGGGTTTTCCCAGACTACTCATCAATGCGGATTTGCCCGATTCCCACTCCTGGAGAAGGCTTCTAATGTCCGCTCCAATCGATTCATACTGGGGCAAGAGGCTCGCCTCAAATTCACCAGCATCCGGTCGCTCGAGATTAGAGCTAGATGCCTCCTTGAGGATATGCATCTTTGCGTGAAGCGCACGAATTCCTTGGGAGAGCGAATTGATGTTTCGGTATTGTGCACGGAGATTGTCCTTGTTAGGCGAAGCTGTTGGTAGCGGAGAAGGCGGGATGACATCACCTGGCACCATGATTAGCTCTGGCGTGGATTCTGTTGAGGAGTGGTACTTACGATCGTCCTCGTTGAGGATGTTGGTCATCTTGTGGATATTCTCGCCGGTCACATGGGCCAGGTCCCGCATCTGCTCGACTGCCGTGGTCCATCTAGCAATATCGGACCCGCCGCCGTCCGCGCCGAGCGCGAGAAGACAACAGAGGATACTCTTTCTCACGATGTAAAGCCTTCCGAAAAGTGTGCGAAGGGCGCGTAGAGAGTACTGGTCTTCGGTGGCTCGCTCATCGAACGCTGCCTGGGCCTCCATAAGCTCCTCCTCTGATATATCGTAGATGTCGTAATACTTGGCGAGGTTGGTGGCATCGGTAAGTGGGCGTAGGGTATGTTGTGCCCGGATGTATTGGCCTAGCATGAGATAGAACGACTCCGACACAGTTCGGCGCAGTCTCAGACATCGTCGCGTTTGCGTCTGATCTTCGAGTCGGCTTACTGGGGGCAACGGTGTGCTTCTACTCGATGGATTAGTGCCCTTTGTCAGCTAAGCTAGAAGTCAGAGCAACTTACATGCGGTAGCCTCTTGAGACCAGCTCAACCTCCTGTATGAATACAACCGATGCGGAAGCGGCAGAGTCAAACCCTTGAGCGTTGCTGATAAAAGTCACAGCTGCGTCAACAGCTTGATGACGCAAATATTTCAGCCACTGTCGCTTGGCGAATGCATAAAACAAAACCCCAATTACAGGCACGAGAACCAACAAAACTCCGACTTTCCGAGGGTTAAGACCAGACGAGGTTCGAGACCGGCTCCAATGTAACAACCAAGCTACGGAGAAAGAAGTCGAGGCCGTGACAACAGCACCTTGTATGCCAAACGTGGTGGAGATAGACGGAAGGTCTGCTGGAAGAGCTGTAGACATCACATCTGCAGCTGATGTGTAAGAGGGCGCCGAGTGTTCGTTCAGCAGCTGAGACGCAACGATGACATAGCCGAACTGTTCCAGGAATCTTTCGTTGTCGCTTCGTCCAACGCGGGAGTTCAGAGCAGACTGGACAGAGAGCTTCGTCAGTATTGACCGGAGCTAAGGCAATAGGTGGGGTGTTCGTACCGTGCAGACATCATAGAGTCGACCCAGAGCTGCGCGCTGTCGCGAGACTTTCCGTTCAAGGGGCTTGGGTAGTTTATTCCGAATACGCTCCTGGAATTTCGAAACTCCTCGTGGGGCAAAATCCGCAGCCGTCGAGTCGGAGAAATCATCGCTATGGTCTGTCTCCTTGACAGGCCAGTTTGGGTCGTGTTCGCCTTCCCCTGACGTATGACCAGATAAGACTTTGTAATTCCCCCAACATATGAACCGGGATAACTCACCCTGGAGGTAGTCCGCCAAAGGCGAGTTCTCATAGACGAGCGATTCCATGACCAGTGAACATTCCGTAATGGTGGCGATGAGAGAGGAGTCGGGGAGAAACACGGATGCTGTAAGGCTAGGAAGGGGAAACAAGGATCAAGGCGGGAAAGGTCGAGCAATGGAGTTGAGACAGGTGTAAGATTCAAGCGCGTTCAGTTGCGAATTATCGCAAACCCATCTCCGCGACAGTCCAATGGGGCGCGTGGGAA